CACAGACGGCCCCATGTCCTCAAAAGCAATAAAAGAGCGAGCAGCCAGGTCCTCCAGTCGCTTGTAAGCCATGCAAAGGGCTTTGATTTTCTTTGTAACCTGGAAGAATGATCACGGAAGGGGAAGCCCAGTCCTAGAGATTGAAGAGCCTGGGGCAGAAGATGTCTGTCTCTATATAAGAGCAAGAGAAAGAAACCAGGGCTTCTCAGAAACGATTTACATTGGAGCATAGCTTCCCAAACCACACTTTAAGATCTGGCTTTCTCCTTGACCTTTGGACATCTCATCTGTGTCATCTGCGTTATTCACTCCCACCTATTTGGATGTTTAGCTACTATCTCCTGTCTCCTCACACTCTGGGGCTTTTTCTTTTTCTCAAGATAGTAGATCAGGTTTAGCTTAGAGAACAGCCAAGGACTCTGTATTAGAAAAAGTAATATGACTTCTGCTGTGATTTTCCAATTGCTACTCAGTACTGTGCTCAGTGGAAAAAACAGAACATTATAAAAGAGTCTAAAAATTTAATACCAAATTCTGTTTCCTCACAGAAACGTTATGATATTTAAAAACCTTTCTAAATTTGTGGGTCCTTAGCTCCACGACCCAGTGCGGCTGAATCAAAACTTGGTGGTGGTTGGCTGGGCATGGTGGCTCACACCTCTGATCCCAGCACTCTGAGAGGCCAAGGCAGGCAAATCACTTAAGCCCAGGAGTCTGAGGCCAGCCTGGGCCACAGGGCGAGACCTACTGGGGGACGGCGGGGGGCGGGGGGTGCGGGGAGGGAAGGTGGTGGTAATGGGAGGTGGTAATGCGATTATAAGGTGTGGGCAACCATATTTTGTGCCTCTAAATTTCTGGAGTTACCACTAACCTAAAATTAAGGATACAGATCAGCTGAAGAAAGAAAAAGGTTTATGTCGAGATGAAGCCTCCTCCTGGGGGTCCGCAGCTGCAGCACCGCCAGGCAGCAGCATCCACGTCGTCCGACCCCCCACAGCCCCACCAGGAGCCCGGCTCCAACCCGGCGGGAGGGGACCGACCCTGAAGGGCGCAGGCGTGGGTTCCCTGAGGTCCCGGGTGTCCTCCCGCTCCCGGGACGCCCGGGCAATTCAAACATTCATCCAGCGCCGCCGCCACCGTCCAAGCGGGGGGAAGGGGCAGCGGGTCCCACAGACGCCAGCCAAGACCTGCGCTCCAGAGCCCGCGGGCTGCTTTCCTGGGGGAAGAACATGGTTTTCGCCCGCCACGAGGAAATCCGTCCCTGTGCACCCGGTTTCCCATTGCCACCGACTTCGTGTGAACTGCAGTCCCGAGGACACGAGAGAGACCCAGGCCTCCGGCCATGGACACGCTCGGCGCAACGGCTCCCGCCAGACGGACGGGCGCACTCTACAAATTTCGGGGTTCACCGCAGCAAGAGGACAGGGAGAGGCAAACAAAGGAAGGACCCTGTGAAACGCACCCCCAAAGCAACCAATGAATCCAAGAAAAAACACGTCTCAGGGCTCCCGCATGGGGATTTTCCCGCATGGGGTCCCTGCCCCCCTGTTCCAGCCCGGCCCAAGCACCCTCCACCCTACCCTGGCCTGCTTAAAGGGAAGGTGTCTACCCGAGCAGAGCCTCCCTCTCCAAGGCTCTGTGGCTCTCGCTCTCCAGCTCCCTCACCCTCTCCCTTTCTCTCCTTCCCCTCCACCTCGCGCTCCGCCATCGCCTTCTGTCTCGCTCACCCGCTCCATCTCTCTCTCCGTTTCTCTCTCTCCATCTCCGTCTCCCGTGCTCTCTTTCAAGCTGTGTCTGTCTTTGTCTGTATGTCCGTGTGTCCGTGTGTCCGTGTGTGTCTTTGTGTGCCCGCGCGTGCGCCCGTGTGTATCTGTGTGTGTCGGGGTAGGTTTGCTCGCGGTGGTGGGTGTGTCTGGGTGTCCGTCAGCCCCTCTTTCCGGGGATCAGGCTGCCGGGGCTCTAGTGCCAGCGCGGGGCAAAGCAGAGCCTTCCCGCCCCGTCGGCCACGGCCGGGTCCTCGTCGGGACAAGCGGCAACGGTGTGGGCTTTGGGAGAAAAAGGGCCCGCGGGGCTGGGCCGGCTGTTCGCCCCTGGGCAGCCCTGGAAGCTCTGGGTGTGTGGGGCAAGAGGGGGCGTTGCAGGAGGGGCGGCGAGGGAACCAAAACAGTGTTTCCGCGGCAAGGCGGACGACCGGAGGGGATCCCAGGACCGTGATCCCCGGGCCCTGACGCCGCGGAGCACACCTGGTCCTGAGCCGGCCCGATGTGTTGGAAGCTCGGGAGCTGAAGAGCCTGGGAAGGCCTGGAGCGTCTGCGAAAGGGAGGCCGCCGGAGAGCCTGGAGACTGGGCAGGGGATGGAGGCATCACGGCCTGACGACGGATTCCTGTTCCCTGCAACGTGGGGAGTCTCCACTGTGGCCGGTTTGGAAACTGGAAAGGAGAGCACCGACACGGTGCTGCTTTTCCACGCTTCCCTGGAGGTTTCTGGGTCCCCACAAAGCTCGGGGAAACAGTCAACATGATCAGACTTTCTGGGGCCGGAGACACGCGAGCAACAGGCCCCCTTGCAGAGGGTAAAGGAACGTGGGACCCGAAACCACGCTTCAGTCGGCCTGAGTGCGACTCCTGTGAGGACGGGACTATCCGCCTCGCGCTCTGCGGCAGGTTTCACGTGGGGATGTGCCATCTGTGAACCATGTGGATGAAAAGCGGACAACCACACGAGTCTTGGCTCATTGGCCTCTGGGCAATTCGCTCATTCCTTGGGAGACGGACTTGTCTGAATTGCTCCGGGACGAAGTGACCCAGGCTGGCGATCAGGGGGGCCGGTGAGCGCCCCGCAGGCCGACACAGCTGTGGGCCTAGCACTCAGCCCGCACTGGGCACCCAACGTTTTCCCGGAGTGCGAGGTCCTGCTGGTCCTGGAGGCAGAAGACCGCTTTTCTCTCTGCCTTCGTTTCTGTTTCTTGCTCCTTTTCTCCCTCTGTCCATCCTTCCCTCTGTCCTTCCTTCTCTCCCTCTCTCCCTCCCTCCCTCTCTCTCCCTCCCTCCCTCTCTCTCCCTCCCTCCCTCTCTCTCCCTACCCCCCTCTCTCCCTCCTTTCCTCTCTCCCTCCATCTGTACCTCCCCTTCTCCCTCCTTCCCTCTCTCTCTTCCTCTCCTTTTCTTTCCTTCCCTACCTCCATCCCTTCCAAGGTTCCTCCGTTCATCCGTCCTTTCCTGCCTCCGTCCTTCCCTCCCACTTTGTCTCCGTTCCTTTCCACATCTCTGCCCGGCTTCCCTCCCGGCTAGAAAGGGCAGAACCACGGTTTGCGCGAGATCTCAGGGTCTACATTTAGTTGGGCGCTCCACGTGATGCCGAGGAGGCTGGCGGGGCACGGGTGGGCGAGTGAGGGTGGAGCGGGGAGGCAGAGGAGTCTAGCCGCGGAAAGGAGAGCAGGCCTGGCCGCTGCCCGGGCCTGTGTTTCCAGGGGTGGAGGTCTCCGCCTGCCCCACTGAGGAACGCGGAGTGCGGGGCCGGGGGGCGCGGGGAGGGGTGCGAGGGGATGGGCTGAGAGCTCCGCCTGGACTGGTCCCAAAGCCTAGCCTGCTGCCTCCGGACCCGCGTAAGTGCAGTAGATGGCAGATCTCTGGGTACCTGGGCGGGCTCTGGGATCCCTGGGATGCTCAGGGAAGAACGACAGCCCTCCTCTGTGTGGGGTCTCTCGCCGGACCTGGAACCCAGGATCCTAGACAGGTCAGCTGGAAAGGAAGAGACGCCTCTCCATACCGAGCCAGAGGTTCGCCGCGAAAGAGGGGCCACCGCCCTGCCCCCACCCCGTCCCAACCCCGCGTCCTAAAGCTCCTCCAGCAGAGCCCGGTGATCTTCCTGGCTGAGGAGTGGTTCCAGCGGAGCGGGCTCTTCCATGTCCTTCAGCTCTCCCAGTGGCTCCGTTGCTAGGAAAGGTTGTGCCTTTTGCTGAAATTCTGGGGTCAACAGGAGCTTGTATAACAGGGCTGATGTGAGTGCAGATGAACGTTCCGGCTACTGGAGCGGTTGGGAGGGCGCCTGGATGGCTTGTATCTGCTTCTGCCACGCAGAGGCCTCCGTGGGCACGGGCTGCGGAGGTAGATGTGCCTCGTCTTCGGATTCCCATGCGCCCTGACCACCTGGGGACCCTGGCCCCAGTCCCAAGGCGGACTCATGTAGGACGTGTGCGGCGCAAGTACACCTTGTTCCTGTGACTCAGCCTGAGCGGGCCCAGGCTGTCCCACTGAGCACGCGCCCAGAAGGCCACCATGCTGCGGGTCCTGATCCCCCTGCCATCTGTTCAGACGCGGAGGTCACCCAGGTGTCTGAGGGTGGGACAGCGCCACTTCCAAAGGAGCCACGGCAGCAAACCCAAAATCTCCGCGTGCCGGGGCAGTTTGGAAGATTCCTTCCGCCTGCGAAGCCTGGCTGGGCTGCAGCAGAGGAGCGACCCTTGCTGCCTGGCTCAGAAAGCCCCCCGTACTCCATGCCCTGGTGTGGGTGAAGGTGACCAACGAGCGAGGAGGGTGGCACTCCCCAGGGCCGCGTTGCACAGGCCGCCTGCGTGCGCGGGTCCCTGCCACCCTGGCCTGGATGCCTGGACCTTCGATTCTGACGCGAAATCTGAATCCTGGACTCGAAAGGTCAAGTCTCTCTGGCCAGTTCGGGTCGGGGTTCCGCTCAAAGCATGCTGGCAGGGCATCTTTTCTGTTTGGGTTACAAACGAGGCTCCTTCGCCGGCCTCGTCCTCGGGCTTCCTGGGAAAGGGCTGTGGGAAGGTGTGGGGAGAGCATCGCGGGGGCACCTGGCCGGAATTTCACGGACAGAGGCCTGAGGCTCGCGTGCACCTCTGTTGGCCTCTGCGCTTATAAAGACCTTTTTATAAGCGCCCTTATAAAGACCACCAGCTTCACCCCTTCGTGAATATGCGTGAGCACCCAAGGGCCATGGGTAGCCCGCCCTCCGAAGCCAGAAACCACTGGACCAGGGCCTTGTGTGGCAGGTGGAGGTGGGGCCAGACCGGCCGGGAAAGGGGGGCTTCTGGGGCTGGCTCTCTGGATTCTCCAGAATTCTACGGAAACTGGAAGTTTCTCTCTGGGCTCACACACGATTTCAGGGAGAAACCACCCTGAAAGGGTAGAGTGCGGAACTGAACCTCCATGACAGTCTTGAGCTTTCCAGGCCCTCTCTGTGAAGGCGACAATGCCAGTGGGTGTCGCCGATGCCGTGATAGTCTCACACACGCAGGTGTGTGAATCTCGTTCATTTTCATGTAGAAAACGAGAGCGAAACCACAGAGAAAAGAAACGTCCCAGGCATCACAGCCTGGCGATGGATTCCTGTTTCCTGCAACGTGGGGAGTCTCCACTGTGGCCGGTTTGGAAACTGGAAAGGAGAGCACCGACACGGTGCTCCTCTTCCACTCTTCCCTGGAGGTTTCTGGGTCCCCACAGAGCTCGGGAAACAGTCAACATGATCTCGCTTTTGGGGGCCAGAGACACGTGAGCAACAGGCCCCCTTGTAGATGGCAAAGGAACGTGGAACCCGAAACCACGAAACCACGTTTCAGTCGGCCTGAGTGCGACTCCTGCGTGGACGGGACTATCTACCTCGGGCTCTGTTGCAAGCCCAATCTGGGGCTATGTCATCTGTGAACCATGTGGATGAAAAACGGACGACCACCGGAGTCTCCGCTCATTGCTCTCTGGGGCAATTCGCTCATTCCTTGGGAGACGGAATTCGTCTGAATTGCTCCGGGATGAAGTGACCCGGGCTGGCCATCCGGAGGGCCGGTGAGCGCCCCGCAGGCCGACGCGGCAGTGGGCCGGGCACTCAGCCTGCACTGGGCACCCAACATTTTCCCGGAGTCGAGGTCCTGCTGGTCCTGGAGGCAGAACACGGCTTTTCTCTCTGCCTTGCTCTCTCTGTCTCTTGCTCCCTCCCCCCGTGTTTCCCTCCGTCCCGCCCTCAGTTCCTCCCTCCGTCCCTCTATCCCTCTATCTCTTCTAAGGTCCCTCCGTTCATCCGTTCTTTCCTCCCTCCATCGCTCCCTCTCTGTCTCCGTTCCTCTCCCCATCTCTGCCTGCGTTCCCTCCCGCGTAGAAAGGGCAGCACCCGGGTTTGCGCGGGGTCTCCGGTCTGCATTTAGCTGTCAGGCTCTCCAAGGTGATGCACAGGTAGGTGAGGGACGGTGGCCGGGGGAGGCAGAGGTGGCGAGACACGGAAAGGAGAGCAAGCCAGGCGGCTGTCCGGGCCAGTGTTTCCTGGGATGGAGGTCTCCGCCCAACCCACTGAAGAACGCGGGCGGCCGGGGGAGATGGGATGAGAGCTCCGCCTGGGCGGTCCCAAAGCCTAGCCGGCTGTCTGCAAACCCACGCATGAGCAGTAGACAGTCCACCTCCCGGTACCTGGACAGGCTCCGGGATCCCCGGGATGCTCAGGGAAGAATGACAGCCCTCCTCTGTGTAGTCTCTCGCCGGACCTGGAACTCAGGGATCCTAAGGCAGGTCAGCTGGAAGGAAAGAGACGCCTCTCCATACCCAGCCAGAGGTTCGCTACGAACCAGAGGCCGCCGCCCTGCCCCCACCCCGTCCCAACCCCGCGTCCTAAAGCTCCTCCAGCAGAGCCGGGTGTTCCTCCTGGTTGAGGGGTGGTTCCAGCGGAGCGGGCTCTTCCACGTCCTTCAGCTCCCCCAGTGGCGCCAGATCTAGGGAAGGTTGTGCCTTTTGCTGAGACTCTGCGACAGGAGCTCATCTAACGCGCTGGAGGGGAGTGCAGACTAGCGCTGAGGCTTCTGGAGCGGTTGGGAGGGCGCCCGGATGGTTCGCATCTGTGCTAGACGCGGAGGCCTCCAGGGTCGCGGGCTCCGGAGGTGGAGCTGCCCCGTCTTCGGGTTCCCACGCCGCCCTGGCGACCTAGGGCTCCAGCCCCACCAGCGATTCCGCTGGGACGTCGGTGGCGCCAGCACACCTTGGTCTGTGACTCAGCTCGAGCGGACCCAGGCTGTCCCACCGAGCACGCGCCCAGCAGGCTGCTGTGCTGCGGGTCCTGGACTTCCTGTCATTTGTTGGGGTGCGGAGGCCACCGAGGAGTCGGAGGGTGGGAGAACCCCACTTCCACAGCAGCCAGGGCAGCATACGCAAAATCCCCGCGTGCCGGGGCAGGTTGGAAGATTCCTTCTGCCTGCGCAGCCTGGCTAGGCTGGAGCAGGGCGACGGCCCCCGCTCCCTGGCTCACGAAAGCCCGCTGTGGGAGAGCCCCAGGCGCGCAGGGCATGTGGGGTGCGGGAAGCCCCGTTCCCCACGCCCCGGTGTGGGTGAACTCGATAGAGGAGGAAGGAGGGTGACACCTGCTGGGGTGTCAATTAATAACCACAGTGGCCTCAAAGAGCTCAAATGAAAGGAATAATTGCACGTCTCTCACTTTAAGTCCAGAGGCAGAAATGATTAAGCTTAGTGAAGATGTAGAATTTTCATCGCTAGAGAGAAGTCAACGCTTGGCTTCAAAACTTCAAAGGATGGGCAGAGGGCACGGCTCACGCCTGTAATCCCAGCACTTTGGGAGGCCAAGGTGGGCGATCATGAGGTCAGGAGATGGAGACCATCCTGGCTAACACGGTGAAACCCCGTCTCTACCAAAAATATTTTTAAAAATTAGCCGGGCGTGGTGGCGGCGCCTGTGGTCTCAGGTACTCTAGACGCCGAGGCAGGAGAATGGCGTGAACCCGGGAGGCGGAGTTTGCAGTGAGCTGAGATCGCGCCACTGCACTCCAGCCTGGGCGACAGAGCGAGACTAAGAACAAAAACAAAGAAGAAAAGAAAAAAGGAAAAAAAGATTACTGCTTATTGACAATTCACCTAGCTACCCAGAAGCTTAGATGGAGATGTACTTGGAAATTAATGTTATTTTCATGGCTGCTAATACAATATCTACCCTTCAGCCTGTGGATCAAGGAGTGGATCAAGGAGTGGTTTGACTTTCAGGTCTTATTATTAAATAATAAATGCATTTTGTAAAGGTATAGCTGTCACAGACAGTGATTTCTTTGATGAAACTAGATAAACTTAATTGAAAACCTTTTGGAAAGGATTCGCCGTTAATCCTTTCATGATATTTCAACCTCCTCCCGTGAATCACAAACGTCCTTAAAAGCAATCCTTAAATGCCATTAAGGACATTTGTGATTGATGGGAGGAGGTTGAAATATCAACATTAACAGGAGTTTGGAAGAAGTTGATTCCAGCCCTCCTGGATGACTTTGAGGGCTCAGGATGTCAGTGGAGGAAGTCCCTGCAGATGCGGTAGAAATCGCAAGACTAGAATTAGAATTAGAGCCTTAAGATGAGATGAAATTGCTGTAAACTCATGATAAAACTTGAACAAATGGGGAGTTGCTTCTTATGGATGAGAAAAGAAAATATTTTCTTGAGATGGAACCTACTCCATGTGGAGATGCTATGAACATTGCTGAAATGACAGCAAAGGATTTAGGATATTCCATAAACCTGGCTGAGAAAGCAGCTGCAGGGTTTGACAGGGTTGACTCCAGTTTTGAAGGAAGTTCTACTGTGGATGAAATGCTGTCAAACAGCATCATATGCCACAGGGAAATCTTTTGTAAAAGGAACAAACTTCATTGTTTTAAAAAATTGACACGGCACCCAACCTTCAGCAACTCCCACGCTGGTCAGTCAGCAGCCGTCAATACAAAGGCAAGATCCCCACCAGCAAAACCATTATGACTTGGTAAGGCTCAGATATTCATTAGTATTTTTTAGCAATTAAGTATTTTAAGTTATGTGCATATGTTTTAGACATAATGCTATTACTAATTAATAATTATTAAATAGTCATTAGATGACAATATAGTTTAAGCATAACTTTTATAACCACTGGGAAACAAAATGTTTGTGGACTAACTTGATTGTAAGATTTGCCTTACTGCAGTGGTCTGGAATCAAACCAACACTATCTCTGAGGGGTGCTTGTAGGTTTTTGGTTGTAACATTTGCCTTATTGCAGTGGTCTGGAACCAAACCCACACTATCTCTGAGGGGTGCTTGTAGGTTTTTGGTTGTTCTTTGTTTTGAGAACAACAATGGGGTTTCCCTCTGTCGCCCAGGCCAGAGTGCAGTGGCGTGATCATAACTCACTGCAGCCTCAAACTGCTGGGTCAAGTGATTTTTCCACCACACCCTCCGGAGTAGCTGGGACTACATGCATGCAGCACTATGCCTGGCTATTTTTTTTATGTAGAGATGGGGTCTCACTATGTTGCCCCGCTGGCCTTGAACTCCTGGGCTCAAGCAATCCAGTCATTTCAACTTCCCAAAGTGCAGCCATTACAGGCTTGAGCCACTGCACCCAGCTTGTCTGCAGTTTTTAAAACAAAAACGGCCAGGCACGGTGGCTCACGCCTGTAATTCCAGCACTTTGGGAGGCTGAGGCAGATGGATCACGAGGTCAGGAGTTCGAGACAAGCCTGGCCAAATGGTGAACCCAGTCTCTACTAAAAATACAAAAATTAGCCAGGCACAGTGGTGGGCACCTGTAGATCCAGGTACTCGGGAAGCTGAGGCAGGAGAATCACTTGAACCCAGGAGGCAGATGTTGCAGTGAGCCGAGATCGTGCCACTGCACTCCAGCCTGGCAACAGAGCAAGACTCCATCAGAAAAACAAAAAACAAAACAACAAAAAAAAAACCACCGTAATTTAAAAGATTAAAAGTTAAGGTAGATTTTTACAAATGTATACGTCTACCATTATAGTATCATACAGAATGGTTTTACTGCCGTGAAGATTCTCTGTGCTCTGTGTATCCATCTCTTCCTTCCCCTTGGTTCATGGCAACCACTGATGTTTCTACTGTTCCCAGTTTCACCGTTTCTGGAACGTCATATAATTGGAATCGAACAGCATGTAGACTTTTCGGATTGGCTTCTTCTCTGAGCAATATGCATTTAAGTTTCCGCCTTGTATTGTTTTGTGGCTTGACAGATCATCTCCTGTTAGCAGTAATATCCCGTCACCACTATACTTTTGACTCAGAACGTACAACATGAAGAGGAAACGTGAATGTGCACTGTAAGCTTTGAGCGACAATGAAGGGTCAAGGTAGGTCCTGGTTGTCACAGGTGCGCTGTGTGAGGCAGGAAGCTGTGGTGGGGAGGCTGTGTGTGGGGAAAGGGACACGTGGGAAGTCTGTGCTCTCTGCTCCGTTTAGCTGTGACCCTGCACTTCTCTAAAAAATAAAATTAGTTAAAATTAAAAGCAAAAAATTAGAAAAATTAAAACATTACAATGTGTCATATAGTTTTCAAATCGCAAGACAGAAAAAGACATAATATAGAAAACAAGGATAAAAATAAAACATCAGTGACAGAAGGCAGAAGACAGAAACGTGGAGCCAAACACATTGATTTATTTTAATCACTAATTATATTCATTTATACGAATTTATATTAAACATATTCAAAGAAAAAGGCAACCAATGTAGACTGACCTCAAGATGACCCAGATGTTGGAATTAGTGTGGATTTTTAAAGTAGTTATTATAATTCTTACTAAAATCAAAACCCCAAAAACCCTTATAATAAATGGATAGGAAATCATAGTAGAGAAGAAAAACTACAATAACAAAGGCTCAAGTAGAAATTCTAGAAGTGAAAGTTTTCCAAGTTAAAAAATAATAATCAGTTGTCTTCAGGAGCAGCTTGGAGGTGGTAAAGAGTCAATGAACCTAAAATACAATTGAAATTATTCAATCTGAAAAATGTGAGCAGTCATAGGTTGGAGTGTGGGAGCTTTTCCTTTGGTTAGTGCTTTTAGGTAATCTTGGTTTTGATATGATTACTAGGCTGATCTGTCAGGGGCTAAACAAAACTTTTGCTTTAAACAAAACTCATGATATCCTTGTGTTCAAGATGGAAGAAGAGTGGACCAGATGACAATATTTAGATGCAGTCATTCTTAACCTCTGTTGCTCTCCCAGTGGTCTAGCTGGTGTTTGTATAAAGCGGAATGGGAGAAAGAGGGATGGAGACCCCACCTACCCTCTCCATTTGTCCACTTGTCCTCCTTCACTAGTGGATAAAGTCCGCAGGAATAGGCAATGTATTATTTCAAATCTGTATCTTCTGTTGTCAAGATCTGTAATTAGTTCTGCTCGCTGGACTGGGATCAGGAACCGAGGGAACATTAGGGTGAACGAGGTGACATGGAATCCAAGAACACACTGTGCCTGCATGCAGAATGTTTGTGCCAGGAAAACCAGTCAGCAGGCAGATGGTCTCAGATACCAAGTGGGAGGCAAGATTCAGTTTCGTGAAGGCGGTGATCCTCAATGTGTGCTTCGTATCACTTGCTTCAGAATGACCTGGAGTACTTGTTTACATGCAAATGTGGAGCCCAGTCCTAGACCTGCTAAGCCTGCGTCTCCACGGATGGTCTTGGCAGTCGACATTGGAGACCTGCCAAGCCTGCGTCTCCACGGATGGGTCTCAGCAGTTGACATTGGAAACGTGCAGGTCCCTCGGAGACGCTTATGCAGATAAATTTGAACTGCTGTGTTTCAGGGTTAGGGAGCTGGCAGAAGCAAGGAATAGACCAAGCCCTTGGGTGAGAAGGCTGCATAGCCTTGGCACTATTAGCATTCTGGGCGGAACAGGATTTGGCCACGTGCTTCGCAGCATCCCTAGCCTCTACCCTCTAACACCACATCCCCGATGTGAAACCAAAAATATCCCCTGGGAGGCAAAATAGTCACCAGTTTGCAACAGGAACCACTGCTTTGTGGGATCAGAGTAGTTACTTTGTTTCCAATCCAAGGATCAGAATCCAAGATGAGACAAAGTGCAGCTATCGGAACTGGAGGGCCAAGCTGGAGCTAGACCTACAACAAACGCTCCAAAAGCTCCTTTCTAGGCCTGATCCCGTGCCTCAGCTACCGAGCTTGTACAGATGCCATGTAACGCTAGATCTGGTGACAGATGAAACCGAAAGGCTAGAACTCAATAGGGTCTTTCCGGTTAGGCCAGCACACAACGTGGACTTTTGACAACATCCAGATGCTTGAACAAACCTCAGTCCTGAGGCAGAATTCCCCGTGACTTCTGATCCACAGCCTGGATGTGGAGTACTCACTGGGATTAGATGCCACGGGAATATTGTGTTTAGGAACTCTGAAAGAGACAGGCTTCAACAAAGCAGACCTAAGCAACACTTAGCATCTGAACTTCTTCAGCTTCCATTCCAGCCCACAAGGACAAAAGCTTCCCATACATATCCACTGTGGCTGACCCGTCCTCAGTAGGGAGTTTCCCCAGCACTGACCTCCCCTCTGTTCTGAGCCTACTTGCTCTTTTGTAATGTTTCCACTTTCGGTCCCACTCCCTAACAGATGGGTTGTCCTCTCCGCCCAGCCCCCTAGTTCTGATATTTGGGCTGTCTGTGATCTGGGTAGTACTTTGGAGGCAATATCAAAGCCTTGTTGATTGGATTGGGAATTTCTAACTTCCTATTAAAGGCACTGATCAAGCATCCATTGTATAAAGTAAAGACTATGATCCAGTAAGACAGATTCCACAAGCAGCGCAGGAAGAATTGGTTTCTAGTACACTGCATGCTTCAGGACAGGAAATCCAGAAAAAAATTCTGTGGTACATTAAGTGTGTACTGTAGGTTTCATTTCCATATGAAAAATTGTAGTTAGCTAAAAAGTACATCCATGAAGAATCTTAAGCTTGTTTAATCCTAGTTAAACTAGTTACTAGTTAAACAATAATTTCACAACAACTCAAGAACTCTTTAAAAGCATTTCCTCTGAATATTTTATTCAGAAAAGAACACAAAAAGATAAAGCAGAAACAAAAATCCCAGTCATTTGCAGTATCTGTCGGCTTTCAATTTGGCTCTCCTGTTTAAGCAAAGAAAAGTAATAAAATTAATCGTGTAAAGCATGCCATATATATTCAACTGCTACTAAATATAAAAAGCTTTAAAACTGTGTGGTCAATTTTGGTTATTATACTACCACAACACTTATATTAAAATATGTATACTTTTAAATTTGGTTTCTATAAAAAATGGATTCTAATCTTGTAACAGTTATTTCCTAACAGTCAATAAACGTTGCCTAAGGGCTTTTTCAATCCACAATAGCAATTTTAATTATTCTGGAATTTAAGGGTGCTCTAAATTTCCATTCAACAGGGTGAGAATGCTGTATTATTGGAAGTGATAAAAGTTACAGGACACAGAGCTTATTCCCTTTTAAAGTCCACATCCTGATTATATTTTACATTCACTTCTTGATTTCTTCCAACTAGATACGTATTCATTTGCTCAGCTGGAAAAAATTCTTAACATTATGTACTGGCTTTAGGTACGCAGTCTACCAGCTAGTTAACAGGAATATGTAATTAAATATTGCCTTATCAAGAAATGTAAAAAAAGGGTAAGAGTAACTTTGCAACATAGGACTTAAATGAGCGGCTGGTGATTATCAAAATCTGGCACTTAATTGATTTATACTTGGACACTCACAGCTAAATGTCTCTGCCTGTTTTCCTACGTTGTAAATCTAGGACATTACTTATCTACATAGGAAGAGTAATAAATATTAATAGTGTGCTATGATAAACATCCTGCACTTCCAAATCTTACAATAAAACTGCTTCAATTTCACTTGTTTAGCTTTTAGATTTTTAGCTGATCTATTCTTATTTTAAGGAACCTGAACTACTCTAACAGAATCCACATAATTTTTACATTAGTCAAACTGCTTCTTTCTAACTCTGGTTCCAACAGTTATAAAAAGATAATGATAAATTTATGAAGTAGATACAGTCAAACCTGAATTTCTTAAAGTATATACTTAGAATCAGTTATAATTTTTAGATATTCTTTCTTGACAGTCTTTTCCTAAACTTTTGTTGTCCTCTCTAAGTAATATTGCCACATTCATAAATTAGAAATTAAAGACAAAAATGTGAAAACCATAGTAATTTAAGAGAACACAGGTTTTCTACACGCCATTTATATTGGCTACTGAAAATAGTGGAAATAAGTAAATAAATAGCTACCTGTCCAGAAGCGTCTCATGCAAAAATCCATCTTTCCGAGCCTTTTTAAGAATTTTACTGTCTTCTTTACTTATTTTAAGTTTGTGGTCTTGGAAGCTCTGAAATTTCTTTCTGCAAAGAAAATGTCTTCATTGAAAAATACCTCAAACTCTGATTATACACATTTACTATGAAATTTATAAATACTGTTAATTTCTTTTTTACTTATTAAAAAAGTCTAACTGTAGGCCAGGGGCAGTGGCTCATGCCTGCAATCCCAGCACTTTGGGAGGCCAAGGCAGGCAGATCACTTGAGGTCAGGAGTTTGATAACAGCCTGTTCAACATGGTGAAACCCTGCTTCTACTAAAAATATAAAAATTAGCTGAGCATAGTGGCACGTGCCTGTAGTCCCAGCTACTCAGGAGGCTGAGGCAGGAGAATCGCATGAACCTGGGAGGCGAAGGCTGTGATAAGCTGAGATCACGCCACTGCACTCCAGTCTGGGCGACAGAGCAAGACTCCATCTTGGGGAAGGGGAAAAAAAAAGTCTAACTGTATTTTTTTAATAAGCTAGAGCTTCTCAACCAAGGTCAAAGATGACCTCCCTGACCCCTCAAAAGGAGGGCCACTCATTGGGAAGAACCACAAGGCCCCACTTCTATTAGGGCATGCCGGCTGGAGTCCCCCGTGTCCTGGCCCTAGCACAGCCTTTGACTGGCATCACACCCATTCGATGAACGAACAGGGAGACGGACTAACCCGGATGACGTTCGCTTTGAGAGCTGTAGGATGATTCGGAAAACTGAAGCCTTTGAGAACAGCATTGAGCTCAGGGCTCTGTCCCAGAGGCTACTTTGTGTTGCCTCTTCCTGTCCATCGGTTTTAATTTAATTTTGTCAGAGAGGGTCTTGCTCCGTCACCCAGGCTGGAATGCAGTGGTTATCAGAGCTCACTGCAGCCTTGGACTCCTGGGCTCAAACAATCCTCCTGTCTCAGCCTCCCGAGTAGCTTGGCCTACAGGCATACACCACCATCCCCAATTAATTAGGTAATGTATTTTGAAAGTACTTTGAGAAGCACTTCACTGTCAAATCTGTAGGTCTAAAAGGAAAAGAACACATACACATAATTGATTTCACATTGTTTTACATTTCCTTTGTCTTCTTCTGGAATGTCATCTTTTTTCTTGGTTTCTCTTTCAGCACAGGATCTAATCTAGATATTGGAAAAGAGAATCCAGTGGGTTACATGTTTATCTCCCACCTTCCCCACTTTACGTATCACATAAGAACATTCGAGATGATTTCTTATGCAGAAGAAAAAATTAACTGATCAGCTATATTCAGAAAAAGGCGGGTTTTGGCTGTGTGTTTTTACTTCACATATTTAATCTATATGAGTAACTGCTACCACATGCTTCCTCCGCAGCCCTTGGGTCAGAAACACTACAGACAAAATTATTTCAAAAACATTTTACACATCAGATCCTGCTAGGCAATAAAGCAATCATTAACTAATTTAATTTTGTCCTCCAAGTGAATACGCTAGGATCAAATTATCCCTAGTAGACAAGTGTTCACTTGATCAGATTGAAAGCTTTAGATCGCTATTTTACGTCGCACAGACTATTACCAAATGCATTAAAACTTTTAACATTACACAACTTGTTTTTAATTAATTGGAACCCACCTCTTTTACTAACTTCTTATATCCTCCAAAGTTTGGATAGATATTTACTATCACATGTCATAAGTTAATTGATCTGCATTCAACAATTAGGATCGCCCACAGAACAGGCAATTGGCAGAGGTAAGGACTCACGTCTCCTAAGGATCTCTGTGGCCAGAGTCCAATTCCAGGACTGCTTAGAAAGTGATGACAAATAATGTGTTTGTGCCAATGACATCTTTGTGACAGCTCCGATTAGAGAAGTCCTAGAAGACCTGAAAACATTCCCTGCTACAGCCTGCAACACAATGCTACCTTTAGTAAGAGGGATCTGTGTTCTGGTAGATAAGGCAAGGTCATAAAGGTGAATGGCTGACAGAGATTAGGAGAGCCTGCAATTAAATGGTAAAGGAAAAGAGTCCTAAATAATCACTGTTCAGAGCTTCCAGGTACTTGACTAACCAGAGACCCAGAAATCTTTGCATTTCATCTGAAAACTGCTTTAAATAGTGAAACACACAATCTTTGTACAAGTATTTTTGTCTCTTTGTGTAAGTGCAAAGCACTGCACATATATTTGCAATTGTTGCCTTCAATAACACTTTTGTGATGATATCCAGATGAAAAATAAACATGATACAATAAAATATAAATAAATAAAATTAAAGGTAAGTCACAAACCCATCTGCATTTCCCCAGTGACCTGCTTCCTGAGAAGCAATGCGCCACGAAATATTGAGTGGCTTAGGAGTCAGCTGGGCCTGGGTACACATCCTGTCTTTACCACACCCTGAAATCACTATGTGATTTCCATGAACTGACTGACAAAAACCATGAGGATGTAAGGAGGGTCAGAGGCTGTCTTCCTGTCTGTAAGGCTGAGCTCACATCCACCTCACAGGAGCATCATGGAGATTCCAGACTACAGTGCATGTGCCCGGGTACATGCAATGAAAAAATATAACTAACATTTCACTTCTCTAACAATAATACCTACATTTTAGATTGAAATTGTTTGAGCTTTAGATTTGAAATTATTTGAAATCAAGACTATTGTAAAAAGAAATCAAACATATGACCGGAAATCTAACATGAAGCACGTACAGACATTTGATACAGGCTTTTAAATTACACTGGTAGTAGAGAAAAATGTAACATAAATTTTTATGCTCTAATTATAAGAATGAAGGGCATTTTAGGAAAGGCATTTCCCCCATCTCTTAGAGCCTTCCACTCTGGCCCCCACAATGCGTCACAGAGCAAATCTGGGTCAGACTGGATGCAACCTGTGATTCCCGACAGAGACAAACAAAGCAAGGTTCAGGCTGCTCACTACTGGGAAGGAATGCCAAGGAACAGAAAAATCATGTGTCAAGAAGGAGGGAGTCATTCTCTAGATACATTTTAGTATATGTTTATCATGAAAGATCACTGGCTTTTGCTGAGTCTAAAAAATTAAGCCTTAAATGTTTTCATCAAATTCCAGCTAACTACCTGATTTATCTAGGTTATATTAACAGTATTATTTAGAATTTCACCTTGATATGAAGATGTCTGTGTAACTTTTACAATGATATAAAACAAAGAGTAAGATTAGGGAGGAAACAGGCCAGTGCCTGGTGCAATGGATAACGCATCTGACTACGGATGAGGGAATTTAGCCTGGAATAAGGAACTTTTATTTCCAGCTTAGTGACACACACAAATTGTAAAAATAAAATAAAAATCATGTTTTATGTGATTCATGTTTTTCCTAACGCAAAGAAGACTGGTATTATTAATAAAAATATTTTTAAAATGTGAGGGCCAAAGCCCCAGAAGTTCTGCTATGATTTTTTTATGTTTCATAGAGTGATTTTCATCACGGAAGCTCAAGCATTACGTAAATACAAATGCATATACCCCTGACCTGGTAATTCTGCTTCTGGAAATTTATCTTCAGGTCCACCTGCACATCTACAAATGGATGCATATTCAATGTTTTGTACTGCAGCACTGTGGATATGAGCAAAAGACTGGAAACAGCCTACATTTCCATCTATAAGAGACTAAACAAATTAAGGTACATCCCTAAAATGAATATTATGCGGCTGTTAAAAAAGAGAGGGAAAGAAAGGAAAAGCAAGAAAAAGAGAAAACTTTCTACGTTCAAACTAATAGTAGAAAATTCTCCAAGATACAATTTTAAGGGAAAAAAAAAATCAAAGTCTGGAAGACTATAGAGGAGGCAAACTTTAGTGTAAAACAGTTGAAAATTATAAATATATTCATGTGTTTATAAAGAAATTTTAGGAGGTTATAAAAAAACAAAACAAAGGGAAAGAGATAGGAACAGGAGCTGGGACACAGGCGAGTAAGACGCATGGCAGGCAGATGTCTTCATATGCTTTTATTTAAAAATGTTGAACCATGTGTACATATTATCTATTTTAAAAATTAGATTTTAAAATACAAGCAAGAAAACAAGAAAACAAAAGCCTAAAAAGATCATGTAGAACTACTCAAAAAAAGATACTAATCCATGGAGATAACGGCAAGGTAGCTCCTAGATGCACTGATTTCTCTATCACATTGTACAAACAAGCCACCAAGTATGCGATTTATAATAAAAAATGAGTCCATCTGAAACACCACATTATAAAAAGCTATTAACTAAATCTTTAAAGTGACAGTAAATGATGATTTAACATTTTAAAGAGATACAGTCACACTGCATGTGTGAATGTAGTTATCTGTATAAAATGTCATAATTACCTTGATCATTTCTTCTTCTCCTGCTGTCTTACTTTTTGCTTCTATGTCCCCAGCTTCATTGCATCTAATAAAGCAGCTATTTGAAGCCAATAAAGCCATTTTCCCCTAAGTGAAACAAAATAACAAAATAGAGAGTCATAAGGATACTTCTTGTAGAAGAAACGTTGTATTTAGACTGAATTAATTTTTCCTCCCTGATTTAAAAATCGCAGAAAAGAACTTAGAGAAAACCTGAAAAATATAATACAAGAACATGCAGAAAAGGACACCAAAATCACCTAGTATTTTACTATTCAAATATTACCATAATAAACACTCTTAGTGTATCTTCCTAGTAGGATTCTAATTAGATGAAGTAGGATTGCTTCCATTCTAAAACATCTATGGTGATATAACTGATTTAGTTCAGTTTGAAAAATTACCTTTAACGACAAGAACATAATTATGAATGCACACTTTATTCAAATACTAGCATTTTAAGTAAAATTTGTTTTCCTCACAATTAGAAAACACGAAAAGGCATATACAATGCCTTTGGTGTTCTGAATTTAAGAATCAATGTCTGAGGGACTTTTGTGTGTGAAAATAAATATTCATATGCTTTTTTAGTTGTTTAATGTTTGATGTATTACACTGCTTTCTATTAAACAAAACTTTAAAAACTGATCTTCTTGTGTATCTAAATCTGGGTTATAAATTTGGTTAGCTTGATTCCCTTAACAAATATAATGTTTATTTATAACTTGTATTTGGTTGATTCTTTTGGAAAACTTGGAATACCATAACATTTAGACAAAATATTTACAATACAATAATTATAAAATATGTATATATTTAATATAAATATGTATATATAAAATGTATAAAATATGTGATATAACTTATATCACATCCAGTTAAAAAGTGCTGATAACATGGATTTAATTTCTTGGTCAAGGTTGCAAGGGCTGGTGGTCTCTCATCTCGATGGCGCCTGCTGAGCCCTGGAACATGCGGCTGTGGTCCAAGGCGATTTAAACCTGTGTCGCAGATTATTCAGCTGAGTCTTTTTGCAACAGAATTTTAAGACCGTCTTTCATTCAAATTTTTGAAACTTAGTGTCCTTCCTAAAAATAAAATGAAATGAACTTTCCTAAAGTGTTGTATTATTAGAACTATCTAGCTCATCATCCTGGCCTTACAATATATTGGCCTTTTCTACTGGTATAACTTTTATTAGAAGTATCTCATCATAACCAGTAGGATCATCTCAAAGGGGCTGTAACACATTAGTGGGTCATGAAATCCATGTAGTGGTTCCTGAATGGTATTGGGGGGGAAAAGAAAAGGGAATACACACAGACACACAGAGGAAGGGGTAAAAGAGAATAAGAAATATCAAGCTGCATAACACATGAACAAGTAAGTATTATTAAGTACAACTCTTGCTTCAGTTATACATATGTGTGTGCTGGGCTGCAATGTAAAAATGCATTTCTCAGTGGCTTGGGTCAAAATAGTTTTCAAGTCACTGACTTAAGATTTTATCCCAGGGGATGAGGAAATTAGTCTAAGTGATTACCTCTTTCTGGGGGGATGTCTGTTTAATTTGTCATCTTAGAAAACACTGCTGAGTTCCTATTTTCAGTTCCTGATTGTATACCACCAAAGCACAACTCAAAGGCTGGGCTTATCTTCTACTTGCTTGTGCCCACTGGTCCTTACTGTTTTTCATATAGTTACCTACTTTTTAAAGACTGTTTAGCACTCACGTACTTTTGTTCAATCTTTACTTCTTACACAAACAGAGAAAGGAAATTATGTATTCTGTACCAACAAAGATTTAACAAAACATCCATATACTACAACTGTCTACTTACTAAAATTAAGAATTAGTATATTATCTTTTTTCTCCTTTTATATTAAAACTATCTTTTCGTACACTATTTGAAGCTTATGAACTGAAAGTCCTTTAGAGATAATTTACTTCAATGAACGATTATTATTTATTTTATGCACAAATTGTCACAACTTGGTCTTAGCTTGCTCCACTGTTCGCTTACAGTCTCTAATGTTTCTGAAAGCATCCATGATTTCTGCTACAAAGAAGAGACTTAGCAACTATTCTGTTTTCCTACTCTGAGACCTAAAATTGACTGGTTCTTTAACGGAAATGAGATCCATATCTAGGCACTAGGGTATAGAGAAATAATTGTGGGCAAAAGTACTAATGCTATTTTTGTTGCACTATATTTTGAGATCTCTTTAAGGCTCTATGTTCTTATTGATTCCAATTTAATGTATACACTATTGCATCCTACTTTTTCTTTTTAAATATATTATGATTGTTACAGACTTTCTGTTACACTGACAGGAAGTTTTTATAAACAGTAACAGCACTTACATTTTGAAAGACTGGTTCCCATTGTTCTCTTGGTCCAATTGCATCTGAACGCCCAACAACAAGCCCATCTGAATTGATACCAAGATACTTTCCATAGCCAGATTTCAGGGCAATTCTGTACATTAATAAGACAGATAAAAGTTAAAAACTGAGAGGAAATTAATTATAGAACATCAAAACAGGACATGTGCATGTGTGTGGGTGTGTACATATCTAAACTTTCAGGCTGGACACATTCCAAGTGTTCAAAAGCTGCATGTGGTTGAGTGGTGACTCACTCTGTAATCTCTGTGCTTTGGGAAGCCAATGGGAGAATTGCCTGAGGCAAGAAGTTCAAGATCAGCCTGAACAACACAGTGAGACCCCATCTCTACAAAAAATTTAAAAAATTAGCTGGGCATGCTGGCGTGCACATGTGATACCAGCTACTGGGGAGGCTGACACAGGAGGGTTGCTTGAGTCCAGAAATTTGAGGTTATAGTGAGCTATGATCACACCACTGCACTCTAATCTGGGTGACAGAGTGAGATTCTGTGCCTTAAAAATAACAAAGCTACATGTGACTAGTTGCTGCCATACTGGACAGTGCAGTTTTAAATTTACAGTTTTGTATTTTGCTTTTTTAATATAAACATTGTACTTATATATTACATTAACAAATATTTTCCAAATTCATCATTCTTCAATTATACTTCTTTAGTTATAAAGTTCAATAATAAATTATTAAAACTTACTTTTTCTGTTATTACAAATAGTTCTATTTACATCTATTTTGTACATAAAACTGATTTATCCTCAGGAAAAATTCCTAGAAATAACTAGATCAAAGAGTATAAACTACAAAGTTCTTATGTCATCAAACTGTTTTCCAGAAAATGCTGTTTCAATTTACATTCTTACTTCAAATTAAAAGAGTATGTTTTGTATCACGAATTTTTTTTTAAACATTATGACTTAAAAAAAAAACTTGAAAACCTGATATGGAAAAAACAGTATCCTATTAATTTGCATTTTAGTATTTAACTAGAATAACAATTGTTTTTCTTTTCCTTTCCTTTTTAGTTTTTAGATTATCTGGTTATGTCCCTTGTCCATTTTTCCATTGAGATCTGATTGCAGTTTTTCTACTGGGGTCATCAGGGCTATGAATTCTGTACAAGATACATATGAAGAGTAAGAACCCACTGTCTATTAAGATTGTTGCAAATATTTTCCTCATTTGTCAGTTAATTTTCTTTACAATCCTTTTTTGTTTATAATTGTAAAGCAGTTTAAAACTATTGAATTTTTTCTTCCTCTGCTTTTATTCTTTATCTTTCACCTTACCAGACTTTCAAAGAAAGTATAAAAATAATCATCTTAATGTGATTTTTTAAAATTCTGATTTCTAATCTTTTACCTTACCGAGACTCTCCTGGGATGCCAGAACTGACTTTTACTCCTTTATACGTTAATGATTATACAACAGAAATTATTATCATATTGATGTAACCAATTACTAAAATATGCAAATTCACTTTCAGTATCTTCTACCCAAAGAATCATTCTATACTTCTGCACAAGGTGAGAATAACAAAGGTTACTTTATAAAATGACTGTAAAAATAGTGAGTAAAAATATTCTTCTGGTCACTATCATTCTGTAACATTCTCTGCTGGTTTCAACAACACTCCTTTTTTTAGTCTTCCTGTTTGTTTTTGTACTTCCCTACAGTGAGTTTAAATATCATAGCAACAGTGAACCAGGTTTTGTACTGTTTGATTTTTTTTTTTTTATTTTTTATTTTTTTGAGACGGAGTCTCGCTCTGTCGCCCAGGCTGGAGTGCAGTGACCGGATCTCAGCTCACTGCAAGCTCCGCCTCCCGGGTTTACGCCATTCTCCTGCCTTAGCCTCCCGAGTAGCTGGGACTACAGGCGCCCGCCACCTCGCCCGGCTAGTTTTTTTTTGTATATTTTTAGTAGAGACGGGGTTTCACCGGGTTAGCCAGGATGGTCTCGATCTCCTGACTTCGTGATCCGCCCGTCTTGGCCTCCCAAAGTGCTAGGATTACAGGCTTGAGCCACCCCGCCCGGCCTGATTTCTTTTTTAATCTATCTTATTTGGTGTGTGAAATTATTAATCTCCATTTTTTTGCATATTTTTTTTTCCAGCCTAGCATTATATATTGACAGGAAATCCACTAAAAGGAGATCACAAAATCTACTTTTCAAAAAAGCTATTTTGTTTTTTATATCAAAATTACTCTGTGGGCTTAAGACAGACACTAAAATTTTTAATGAATACAATTAAATTTTTAAAATAACTGGTTACTAATTATATTACAACATAAGCTCACCTGGAATCAGATAGTTTGACAGCCGTCAACTGCTCTGGGGGACTAGGGCCCTCATCAACTATTGGAGAAAAAACATTTGAAAATAAATTTGACATTTGCTATAAAGATATCACTTTGCTTTAAAAAATATGGCTGTTTTCTTCTGCAATTAAATGTAAGAATATTCAGATATGCTGATGTCACTGTAACATTGCATCTTTGGAATCAAGATCTATTTTACCTTCTTTTAACTACAGCGCTAATTTTACATATTGAGTAGGACAGGCTAACATAATGCTTATTTAATAACTTCTGAGATATCTTCTCATTATGTTTTAAAATACAGTCATAAATAAGCACTTATTTAAAAAACTAAATGTTTTCATTTATTCAAGGGATGGCCTTGCTGACCAAATGATACTGTTTTTTATCTTCTAATTACTTTGTATCTCATTAGTGCTTCCTCTAATGGGCTAAAGAAAATGAGGAAACTTCAAATTGTTACCCACACCCAGGTTAGTTTTGGCAATAGGTCTGACTAAAAAAGAAATTCAAACATTTTGACTCAAGTAGGTTTTCTGTTTTCTTTTCACTTACTATTTTAATTATTCATGTTGTTTTGATTTCCAAAGATACTCTTCTGGAACTATACAGAATGTTTTCAAATGTTTGTATTAGAAAGAGGGACTTGCCAATGGCTGGTAAATATTAAGGAAGAAAAAAAACGGAAGAGTCAAATGCAATGGAAAATTTGGAAAATTTTGGAAAAATCTCCTTTGGAAAATGTCTGAAACTAGTTAGAGTTTGGCCTAAGCGAATGAATGTCCTAAAACCTACACTTGTGGCAGCCTCTTCCCTTCCAGACACAAACCTTCTTTGTGTGGAGCTCCCAGGGTAAAAAGGCCATTGTCGAGTGCGTGTATATAGGTTCCCTTATCCATTTCAATGGCTATGGTTCCTGAAATTTCACCAAAGTTTGTTACTGTCCACCAGATTCCTAAAAAATAAAATCAATATTTAAACTTTGTATCTTAGTTTTGACATAGAGTTCTTTTTGTGTTATTATAACTTAGTTTTAAAAACTTTTTGTTTTGCAGTTGTAAGAAATAATACAAAGATCTCATATATCCCTTACTCACTTTGTCTCAATGATGACATCTCACATAAGTATCACACTGTCAGAATCAGGAAATTGACATTGGTATAATCCATAAACCTTACTCAGATTTCACCAGTTTTACATGTACTTGTTTGCATGTATGTGCACAGATTCATGCGACTACCAGTACAGTCAGGAATAGGTTTTTAAAATACAGAATAGCAACATACAGC